CGATCCATTAATACGGTACATTAGAAAATCAATTATGCCGCAGTCTCGCTTAATCTCGTGTCCGAGGATTTCCCCTGTAACCTTCCAACGTAGGAGAGGCTCTTGTCGCCGAGAGCTGACGGTTCTCACCCATTCGGGCGAAAAACAGGAGCGCGATGGGTGGTCCGGGGACTTAACCTCCCTTCTTCCATTATCCTATACATTTTTACGATCTGCCAGCGGCCGCGCAGGCGTCGTTACGCTCTTACCAAAAAGAACAAATCGTTTCCCCCCTTGCTACTTACGTCAGGGAAAATAGGCATTAACAATTGCATTTTTTGTAATATTATTTCACACATGAAAAACACAAGCTCATGGATACCTATAAAAAAGTATTACACAACATTACCGCACGGCGTCAAAGAAATTTATTAAAAATGAAAGACGTATTCTTAAGAAAAATCGCCCAAGTTTTTACGTGAAAAAAAAATTTTCAAATCGTTCTGGAAAAATTATTTTTAGTTGCAAGGGTCAGTTGCAATCATTTTTGGTGAATAGGCATACCCCCGAAATCCTACGCACTTACAAGGAAAAAATTCGAATAGGTGCTTAAATTTTTCGGTTAAAGAAAAAATTTCAGATCGTTCTAAAAAAATTATTTTCAGTTGCAGGGGTCAATTAGAATCAATTTTGGTCAATAGACATACCCTCGAAATCCGACGCATTTTCGAGGAAAAAATTCGAGTAGGTGCTTAAATTTTTCGGTTAAAGAAAAAATTTCAGATCGTTCTAAAAAAATTATTTTCAGTTGCAGGGGTCAATTAGAATCAATTTTGGTCAATAGACATACCCTCGAAATCCGACGCATTTTCGAGGAAAAAATTCGAGTAGGTGCTTAAATTTTTCGGTTAAAGAAAAAATTTCAGATCGTTCTAAAAAAATTATTTTCAGTTGCAGGGGTCAATTACAATCAATTTTGGTCAATAGACTTTATCCCGAAATCGTACGCATTTTCGAGGAAAAAATTCGAGTAGGTGCTTAAATTTTTCGGTTAAAGAAAAAATTTCAGATCGTTCTAAAAAAATTATTTTCAGTTGCAGGGATCAATTAGAATCAATTTTGGTCAATAGACATACCCCCGAAATCCTACGCAGTTTCGAGAAAAAAATTCCTTACTCCTCCAAAATGAAATTTTGTCTAATGTTTAAAAATTCATCGATTCCGTCTTCCCTGGCCAAAACGAAGAATATAAAAATACTCGAGGCCACGTTTTACAAAAATTTGCAACTCGTGTCTTCGTCACGTCGTGTCGCGGAATATTTTCTTTCCTACGGTGTAATTTTTCGTAGAAGACCGAAGCGTTTTAATTGAAAACGACGCACAGGATCGATGGGGGAGCCGGTTCGAAAATATCGACGATATTCATAAGGATTAATTTCAATTAAGGCTAGCTGGCGCCGTGAACCGCGGAGGCCATCGGTGCAGCGTCGCAAGTTCAGTTCCCCTGTCGCTCTGCGTAGTCCTTGGTCCCGATATCTCTCCGTCTACATCGCGGCGCTCAAACTTGGAAGATCCAACGGGCTGAGTGCATCATTACGGATTAATATCCCCGCCGAGGAAGCACGTAACCTCGCGCTACCGTTCCTCGTTATCACCGTTGGTTACGCCGAACGAAATGTCACCGTGCGGTTTCCGTCGGTTCGATCTCGGTCACTTTTCAGCCCGAATTAAACGGAAACGATCCGTATTGCCTCCCCCGTTATTCGGTACCATAGCCGCGGGCGTCGGTTTCAACATGGACGCGTAATTTTTCGAAACGTTCCCGGTGGATATTTTCCACCGAAGAAGCGATCGGTGCCGCGTATATTCTGTCGTCGAACGAATAGTTCGGATACTTCGATCAACTTCCTTGATAGACTCTGTCAGAACTTCCGGGATCGGCTGCCGGACTTAATATCTCGTCGGTTGGGAAGTTTAAAAACTACGGCAGAGCGAAAATCTGAATTAAAAAAGAAACTTCGTTGAACGCACCGGATGCTCGTACGGGGAGATGTTTCTGGTCTCATGCTTTCATTCTGCTTTACTTTTTTCCGCTCGTCTCCTCGCATTTTCAACTTTTTCATTCTCTACGGGTCTCCTATACTGGCTGGAACATTAACGGATTTAAAGTACGAGTATGAAAGTATAAATGAAACGTGAAGCGATTAAATCAGAACGAGAATCGAGGAATCAACACTCGTTCCAAACTTCCAGCAGTAATGTAACGTAGAAAGTGTTCGTAGAAGGATAAAGATTTGAATATTGAGTTATCACGCGGCCGGAGCTTATATCGAACGACGTAATCGCATAAACGGAGAACGACTCGACCAGAAACACACATAGAAGACGTATAATCGTATCTGTTGATTGCTACATTACGCAACTTTGGCCCCCTTACCGAGCGGTATAACTTTTCTGCTATGCTATTTCGCTCGACACACTCAGCAGGTTGTCTTCACTCTTTCTGTAATAGTATACTACGCCCGTCGTTCCCAACAATCTGTCCTTGGACCTCTTTTGATACTTACGTAAGCGCCACGCCACGTGTTTGCAATAACTGTCAAGTATAAACGATGCATCTAGTAATTGGGACGAGCTATAACTCTGTTCAAAGTCAAGTCAGGAGAAAACGACACAGTATATTTTGCATCGCTCAACCAACTCGATCGTGCCACAAATTGAACTTGTAATTTAAAGCAACTTCCAAGCCAATGTCTATCATGTGTCCTCGATGGATCGGAGGTCTCGTTCTGATTCGTCGATCAATCCAGCGAGTTGCCTCGAGATGCTTGACAAAGTCTTCTTCACGAGCGACGTCTTGCTCTCTTTCCCGTCTCGAAAATTGTCGAACCAAGCAACAAGTAATCCGGTCGACGTTCTTGAGGTTCGCGACTTCGAAAGTTGAAAAATGACTGATAACTGACAGCCGACGAGAGCCCTTCTATGGCCAATCAATCACGAACGCAAGAGGGTTTATCTTTCCTCGCAACCGAGTCGGTAGAGACTCTCATACACCAGAGCTTATCTTTTTAGGGGGGGAAACGTGTAGCTGCGCCCCCATATCGACGCATCGTAACATTCATCCTTCATTTTCTAGCTTACGTAAACGCATACTGTACATAAATTCTATTTTTAAAGACTGAAACGTACAGCTGCGCCCCCCCCCCTTGTCGTACGATTTAATGCAATTTTTCAAACGTGTACTATTCAATTTTAAATTTGTTCGTACAAGGAATGGTTACGAAAAAGAATAGATTTGTTTTATGAATAACTCGTGAATGTAAAAACTGTGAAACCTGACATTAAGAACTTGTAACGAGTCAGACTCAAGGTGTTAAAGGCGATGGTAGAATATTCGTTGCCCTGAAAATTTGTCGTCGTCCCAGGACGCTCGAGTCGCATTCGCGATTCCCAGGAACGTACGGCGAGCGCGTTAATAAATCGAATAAGATCGTTAAATAAAACGAAGGGAAGAATCTCCCTCCCCGGAAGGCAGCGGTACCTAGCGAAACGTTTTCCCTCCATCCTGCCACGGTCCGTCCTCGCTGTCGCGTATGAATGTAAAATATTCAGCGTCGTCTAGTTCCCGGTGACGGGGCAGTATTCCCTCCAGACAGCGTGTAACGTCGGCGTAACTCTCGTTATCGTCGTCGCCGCTAACGTTGGAGAGTTTCCCACCGGCGGGGCCCTCGTCAGCGACGTCGTCGACGTTCCTCCACATGCAACCAGGTTGGCTGCGTGTCACCTCCGAGGACGCATGCCGCAAGCATCGAGCCGCGCTTGCGCTCCGGGGTTGTCCCTCGCGCGCTCCACGCCCGCCGAAACGGTTCCGAACGCGTTCAAAATTTCACGACGAGGCCTCGCCGCCGCGGCCAGGACGCGTCCCGGACCGAAGGTAAAGGACAAGCATCCCCGCCGCGAACGCGGGCCAAATATTTGCTAATGGCAAACGTTTACCCTTCGGCAGAGCAAAACCTAAGCTCCGAAGACATATCGCGCTTAAGGCAGCGCTATTATACGAGCAAACGTCTGCCCGGGTCTGTTTGATATTCCCCGACGTCCGAGAAGACGCTCGCCTTCTTAGTTCGGCGTCTTCGGGGCTCGTTAATCCTCATCTTACCCGAATCCCGAAAAACGGAGGAATTAATTCCGAAAGATGCGAGATTAGCAGAAAAGTCTTGATAAATATGGCTTCGAAGTTGTGGAAATTGTTTTCCAGTGACACATCTGTGCGTCATCTGGCGTAGTTTCTGGAATCGATGTTTTTCATTTCAAGCACAAAAGTAGTCTGAAACTACCATTGTTCTTAAATTCTTTCGTAATAATTCCCATCAATTTTCTAGAAAGATCGCATCTCAGCATCTCGCATTTCGTGTCGTCGAAAGACGCGCCACAGGGCACCTGTCGATCGAACTCGATACTCGTGCTCGATACGTCGCGGGTCGTTCGAAAATTCATCGAGACCGTCGTTCCGGGTCCGTTCATCCCCCGCGGAAGCGTTAATCCGAGCAGCGGGTCGCCGTTTCTGCGTCTTGGAGGGCGCACGTCGTAGAGGTCTCTGCACCCACGGCCTTCGTTAACCCGCACTTACGTCCTTTCGTATTATACGTACTTACCGAACGTTTCACGAGGATGCATTCTCTGCAGGAGTACAGGGCGCATGCGCCAACGCACAGAGACTTGCTCTCCCTCCCCTCCTAGGATCGCGCTCCCCGTTCGGTTCGTATCGTCGTACCCCTTGCCGTCTCTTCCCCCACCCCAGGTGCAGCCCGCCACGCGACCGTAGCCCCCACCAGGAGCGTGAGCGTGTGTCACGCTCCGGGTAGCTCGGTGCGTGCCTATTAGAAGGAGGGGGTAAGGGGCGCGTGTGCCCTACGAGAGAGATGGTGGGGGCGGGCTGCGCGGTCGGTGGTGGGGATGCAAGTACGCTCGACAGAGAACTCGCCACTAGTTTCGTATCAACTCTCGCGCGAGTCGGATGTTGGGTGATCCGCGTTAGGCTCGCTCGCTCGCTCGTCGACATACCCGCTCTGAAAACGATCGAATCTCGGTGGCACCGGATCAGGCGAGAGCCAATTTCCTCGCGAACGAACCAAATATCGCGCGTATCGTACGATCGTGGTTGCCCGATCGTGTTCCCGTGACGCCGGAACACGCGCGAGTGCCGTGTAAGCCGTGTGCTACGATACGCGAATGCCGTGATGCTGCACGCTGCCGGACGAAGATCGTCGAGGCTGCTCGCCATCCTCTCGATCGCTTCCTCCTGACAGTTGTGAGCCTCGTGCGTCGTCCTCGCCGATGAGATAGTGGTGATCTCGGGACGATGTCGTCGCAGTGATAGTGGATACGGAGACCTGCCCTCGGGTACCGGCGGATGGAACGCGGGATTACCTCCTGGAGAAGTGGCACTCGACGTTCACGCGACCGTCGTTCGCGTCTAGCCAGAGAGTGAGTGATATAACGGATAGTGGCGACTGAATATTACGCACGTGCGACGGGGTAATCGGGCCAACGAAGACGGTGGCTTGTCGCGGGATTATATCGCAGTGTCCTGGTGAACCTGGTGCCTGTTACCGCCCGATCGTGGCTACCTGTGCAATGTTGATATAGTGCGTTCGGTTGATTGTAAGTGACGATGCACGGATTCCTTGTGGCGGACACCATGGATTTCTCTATTTTCGACGCGGTCTCTACGCGGCGCTCGTCCGTCAGGGATAACACGGATCCTCCAGCGAGGAGCCAGTTCAACCTACGCGAAACGATCAGGTTAGTCGGTAGCTTTTTAAAAAGCGTTTAAAGCGATGCTGGCGTCCGGTGAATAGTTTTACGCGGGAGCAGACGAGCAGCCAACGAGTCTCTCTCAGAGAACGTTTTAGTTTCTAAAAAAGTTTCTGTTCGATGGGTGTAGCAACCTCGGCGGACGATTCCCGCGACTCGGGGAGCATGTGGGCGTAGAAAAGTCCGGAGCAACAAACCACCGGCGGTCCGCGTGTTTACATGCACGTGTTAACGCTCGACGTGGCAGAGAAAAGAGCGTACCAGCACGCGAAGCGTTGGGTGGGGGGGAAAAAAAAAAATCTAAAAAGTTGGACCGTCTAGGTGCGACGTTTAAAACCATCGTCGTTTCGATGGTGAAAATACGCGCGAACGCGTTCGCCCCGGCGATGTTACGCGTGTCCGTGGCGCGCGTCTTAAATTATTCACGACTAGGATCGATATTCCACGGTCGTCGCGATACGTGACTTCGACCAGAGTACGCACACAACGCGGAGGGATTCGGTTTTCGGTGATTCCGGTACGGAGACAGCGGCCGAGATGAATGTAAGGCACGCATCGTTAAAGTATCGATCTCTCGAATAGGCAGCGCCTGCATAGGCGTGAATTAAATGGCGCGCAAGGGAATTTAATGCCATTAGCTACGCGAAGAAATTTACGCGGTCGATATGAAAACGTAGCACCGCGTTAGATACGTCGACGACGAGACGTGCTTTAGATCGTCGCTGGGTGATTAATGGCCACGTTAATGCGCGCCATATAATTAACGAGGAAAAAGATTTGTCAAAAACGATTCGACGACGTTCCGCCAGATGTTTAGAAACGTCGAACGTCGTAAAATTTATTTTTTACTAGTACATAATGCACCGTGATACGCTAAATTGTATGTAACGTGGAAGACGCGAAAGTCGTGATCGTGATTGTCAGGAAATGAAATCATTGAAATTTAAATCCTGAAATCCTCCGTGACACGATATTCGCTGAAACTCTTGGCTTATTCGAGCCAATGTTATACTTAGCTTTTACTATCTCCTAGAAGATACTGGAATTATATGAAGTTACCCATTCAAGCAGTTTTTGGAAGAAATACTGGAATCTCTCGTTTTAGAATTTTGCACGGAATGTACGAATCGATGGCGTATGTTTTCACGGTACCTCTACAAATCTGGAAAACTTCTCGGGTACTAATTGAATAACGTCGCCAGCGAAGTGCAAAGGGTTATCGTTGAATCCCCGACTCGCCGTTTGCGCGAAGATTCGCTGTAAACGTTTGTCCTATCCGATAACTATTCAAGTATTTGCATACATTGGAATACTTAACCGAGTGTTTGGTGGGACTTTGGGCGTAGGCAGCCGAGGTTCGAAGTTACCGAGGAATATGCAATGTTTCCCGATCGTTTCTCATCGCGATCTTGCACTTTCGAGTTATCGTTTAGTCAGAAATCGATTTGCAATTTATTTTTAAAATTTGAAGAAGCTACAATTAATTTAGCTTAGCTCGGTGACTCGCTTCACGATGATGCGTCTTCATCAAAAGCGTTTACACCACGATGTGACGTTTCGACCGTCTCCTCTGGTCCTCTTCAAACATGGTGTACGTCTCACTAATCCCCTGTAACTATTATAGTAAGCAGGGCACACTTTACCCCCGGACAACTGCTTCGTTATCAGATGTTTTTGTCATCCCTTCGTAATTTATGCATTTCACCGTGCTGATTTAATTTTCTTTGCATCTTTTGTGCCCTGTAACTATTACAGCGAGCAGAGCACACATTACCCCCGGACAACAGCTTTGCTGTCACATGTTTTTGTCATCCCTTCGTAATTTATGCATTTCCCCGTGCTGATATAATTTTCTTTGCATCTTTTGTGCGTCACGGGGAACTTTAAACGTCCCTGTGATTAAAATGTCAATATCGCGTCGCCAGAAATTTGCATCCTCCTCGAGGTGTTCGGGTGACAATACGAGTCTTGAAGACCGTAGCAGCGGGGAACTTGATAATTCTCCGGCAACTTCACCGAAACGAAATCTCGAGGGTGGTCTACGATATCCGAGGCAGGGATCGCGCGCGAGTTAGGGGCAATCGAAATCCAGCGATTCTCGACGGAGAGTTAATTCGACCTAATGGCGTAGGGAAGCTGGTATCTGGACCGTTTCGTTGCCTCGATAACGAATCCTGCGAGACTCTGGAAGTTTCGTTTCGGGACTGCGGTCTTTTTTCGCGGCACCGCGTAGCCGCAAGTATCTCTCCGTATCCTCGAGACATCATGAAGCAGCGCGTTTCGTGACACGCGTAACCTACTTCGGTGATGGACAGCGATCGCGAAAACAATGAAAAAAGTTCGGACAAACATGTGCCCTATTTGGCCTTGTTTCAGAGTTATAATTAGTTTCGTGCCCCGGCAATGCACGTATAGCTGTTTACTTTCGTACCAGACTCTATTTATTCCGGCTCGAGAATCAATTTGCAATTTTTAACAAATTTTTTTCACACCAAGTGTACCGTGTATTCGAGGGTAGAGAAGTATTTTCAAGAGCACACCGGCGAATTGGAACACGCTAACCCGTCCTTAATGTCCTCCAGGAGAACCGTAGCTGCCTCCGGAGGGGCGTCACCGCCCACGCTGAGGAACGTTGGCTATACAGGGTTCTCCGGGATGGGTCAAATTTTAATTCCGCGTAATATTAAACGACGCTTCAATGAGGGCTCTCTGTAATCTCGCCTTAAAGATACAGGATTAGAGAAAAGCGTTGAAAAAGCCGTTGGAAGCCTGGAATAATTTCGGAACAAAAGCAACACGAGGCAGCCGGTGTTCCTCGGGTGTCTCGTCGGCATGGTACGCCGTTTTTACGCGGGGCCACGAATGTCAATGCGTCCTCTGCGTGGTGCATTTCCCTAATGCTCGAAATCCTCGTGACCTCGTGTCTCGTAATCCGAGCGTGTATTTTAATTGGCTCGCCGCGGCTACATTTTCCATGACGCGACGTGAAATAACGTCAGAGAAGATGTAACCGCGGTTTTAACTCCTTCGTTACGCGACCTCCAGTTCTCTCTCTCCCCCCGTGTTTCCCTTCCAGCACCGTGAATGTGTGTATCCCGTTTTTTTTTTTCTTTTTTTCCTTTTTATTCTGTCTTTTTACCTTTCGTACGAACGTGCATGCATGCATGTCTACACACTCGAACACGGTCGAAGCTCTCTCGGCGTTCGCGTTTCATAATCCCACGGTTTTAATCGCGCCGTTGCGAAGAAGATTCTCGACGCTACCGATACCAGCCTCCCTCATCCTCGACCCGAACGCGAAAACGAACGAACTGAACGAAGATAACCCAATTTTCGCGACCGCCGGTTTTATCGACTACCGCTCGCCCCGTCGCATTAGTCGCGCTTCTCTGCTCTATCTTGGCCCGCGCGTATTGTTTTCCCGTTCCGACGACAGCGGGGAAAAAGGACCACATTTTTCCAACTTCCACCCGGATCACCGGCTTTTCTAGTCGTTTCGCGAGCGTCGTTGAAAGTCGTTTTGCTCGCCACGCAGCCGGGCCAGATTAATTCGCGTTCTACTGCGCCAGGCTGGATAGTTGACACCCGGGAGGAAAAACACGCGATTGATTCTACGAGCCCTCATACGTGTTCGTTTTATTGGTCGATGGTCTAAATGTGGAGGTTTCAGAGAATAGCGACAGCTGTCAACTTAAGAGCTCTGCACAGTACGTGGTTAGATTAGGTTGAAACTCGATGGTTAGACTCTAGAATTAACTTTCTTTTCAAATTGTATACGAATTGTGATGAAAACTTAAATGGGATTAACGAGTTTGATTTTGCTATTCTTAAATTCTGACAATGAGAGCAAGTATTTTTCTAAAGATATTACGTAACAGCACGTAGCTACGAAAATACCAATACGCGAGTACGATTCGCGTACGTAAGTTCGTTTTCGACGGCCGTGTTGGCGTTAATTAACGAAGTTTCGTTCAGTTTCGTACAATAACAGCGCGCATCAGGCGCGCATTGTCCACTCATTAACGTTTCGAAAAAAAAAAAAAACACGATAAAAAAAACGTTGATCGTATTTTCGATGCCGAGTCTTTCGAGCGGCGCGCGCCGTACCGGTCTATTATTCGCTTTTATCCGAAAATAATGAATTGCGTCGTGTTTTGCGCGAAAATTAACGCGACAATGGATACATCGCAACGATACCAATCGGTCCCGCGATGCCGCCGCGTCAATATTTTCATTTACAAACGAGTCTGTACGACTCGCCGCAGCGAATTGTTTTCTATTCCGAATGGAATTACAAAAATAAAAAAACGGAGAGAGTGAAGGAAAAATAGAAAAAGCCGGGGAATCGGTAGGGGAAAAAATTGGAACGAATACACGGGAAACGCGAGGGGAATGGGGATATTACCGCGACATTTTAACGGCCAACAACGACCCGTCTCGGGGTTGGAAAATTCGAACTTGGATATCCTCTCGTTTCGCGAAAGTGCCGACCGCGTTCTCCCCGAATACGATCGCGAGGAACGATACCGCGGGGCTTGAATTACTATACCAGACCGAGCCCGGGCACCGTACCAATTTCAAATCGAAAATAATCCTTTTATTTTCCCCTTCGCGGCGGATCCGACGAAGGCTTTTCGAACCGGGGCTCTCTCGCGTCCCGGAAACGGGCGAAATTCTTATCCGGGTACAAATTTCGAATAACGAATAAATGGTACGCAACTGCTTCCCTCGTTGCTCCTCGAACGAAGGTACAAATTTCACGCAAGTGGAATACACGCTTTAACGAATTGTAAGCCAGAATTTTTAATTCGTAAGAATCCACGAGTCTTGAAAATTCCTTTACCAATTAGACACTTTGTTGAATTTTCTTTATAATAAAATATACAGTGGGGTTCTCATGTATACAACAATATATAAAATTTAACTTGAACGAACTGGAAAAAAAGAAAAAATGAAGGAAAATCACACACAGACAAAATATTCGGTCA